CGTTACAATGGTGAGGGAAAAGCTCTGTATTGCGTGTAATCACGTCCATACAGTTTATGATCACAACAACAACAACGTTTGTCAGGCATCTACATTGTCATCTGAGGATGCTTTTTTAAACTCTAAAACATGAAATGTGGAGTTATCTGCTTTTGCCATAAAACGACTGTTGGAGTTATCTGCTTTTGCTATAAAACAAACTTTTAATATGTAAAAAAAAACCATACTTTCAATGAAATTTAATTTTGTAAATTACCTGTATTTGTTTAAGTTATTATTACTTAATCAAAACAACCCAACTGCAGTTTGATTGATATTACTTGGAATGCGCAATAAAAAAAAACGTGATTTCTGAAAAAATAAAATACAAATGGAGTTATCGGTTTTTGCACATGAACTCCTCATATATACAGGGGTGAGGAGGAGGTAAGGGAGACTGTGCCTTCTCAAAATATTGGATGAGAAAAAAAAGTTGTAGTACAAAAATAAAACAACGCCAATATTACAAAAAAAATTAAAAAGTATATAAATCACTCGTTTTTCTAAAGAAACATTGTCCAACAGTGACACCAGCAGGTAAAGTTACAGAGGGAGTCAGCGTCTCTCTCGCCTCCCCTGAGCCCATTGAGTTTTAACAGACCCCCTGAAGCCTGCGGTGAGTTTGTTGGGGGGTAAATGAGAATGAATGGGAGAAAGTCACGTGAGAGGAGGCAATGCCTCCATCGCGATATGATTGGATATGTCTGGTTATGTTGGGCTGTGATTGTTTCATGTGATAAATCCTGCCTTTTGTTTTTCTGCGCATTCCACATTTGCGGATCAGTCTAAATCGGGGTTCCTCAAATCTTGCCCTGGAGGGCCAATGCGCTGCAGAGTTTAGCCAAAGTATAGAAGCCCAAAAGGCGAAACTCTGTAGTGATAAGGGCAACAGTCTATAGATGGCGCTGCGGAGGTGCTGCCGCCATTTTGGACTGAAAAGATGCGAGAGAGCAAGTGGGCAAAACGCAAGCGTTCTACTCCTTTCTTATGTCTTACAATCTCTGTTAGATTTGTTTTCTCTCTCACACGAACACACAATTGCTGCTGATAGTTTTGATCTTTTACTACCACTTCCACTTTATTCCTCTATTACTATTTACAGTTAATGTTAAATGTGTGCACTTGATACAGTACAGAAATATTATCTGTCTTATAATCTCTTCTCTAACACAATTGCTGCTGATGGTTTTGATCTCTATTGCTTATTTGATTTTGATCTATTACTATTTTCAGTTAAATGTGTGCACTTGATACATGACAGAAATTACAGAAACCTCACAATAGTTGGTGGAGTCCTTAAAACAAAGTTTGCAAGTTGTTCATATTTTGTGATATTTGAACTGTTGAACAAACAATATTAAATATTGTTATATATATTGTTATAAATATACACTTTAAATGTGTTATTGTAAGTTGGTCAAGCGCGACTGGCTCCTATTATTCTACGGCGGTTTTGTGTAGTTTTCAGTCCAACATGGTGGCGGCACAGTCACGTCATGGGCGCAACTGTTGCTATGGAGCGTTCTATTGAGTTTCGCCTCTTGGGCTTCTATACTCTTTGGTTTAGCTCCAACCCTGATCAAACTCACCTACCTGTGATTTTCTAATGATCCTGAAGACATTGATTAGCTTTGATTTTGATCTATTACTATTTTCAGTTAAATGTGTGCACTTGATACATGACAGAAATGACAGAAACCTCACAATAGTTGGTGGAGTCCTTGATACAATGTTTGCAAGTTGTTCATATTTTGTGATATTTGAACTGTTTTTTTATAAATGTTATGAATGTGTACCATTTATTTTAATTTATTTTTTATTTAAAAATCAACATTGTGAATAAATATATATGACTGTGTCTGCCTCTATTAAATCACTACCAAACATCACATCTGGTAATTTCACGACCTTAAGTTTTTAATTTAACAAGGAAAATGTACGATAGAACATAGATATGGGTAAGTAAAGGGTTTGCAGTAATTTTATCTTTTTGCTTAGCAAACAGCAAGCAGTATGAAACAGTCTAGTCAATTGGTGGAGGGGACCCATCTATAATCTTTATATTTAAGTATGATACAAATATATATATATATATATATATATATATATATATACTTTAAAT